TGAATGATCAATTGTTCATTCAAGCATACAGTTGTATTGTTGATTGGTGTGCATTGTCCCTGTAAAAAGAAACAGAATAAAATACTGTACAGTAGGCCTAAAGTGTGTGTGTGTGTTTACAGTATGCCAAATGTCAGAAAGAGGAAGACAGACAGGGGAGTGCCACTTGCTCTGCTGCAGAGGGCCTCAAATGAAGTTGAGAAGGGCAAATCATTCAGGGAAGAGGCAAAGTCCCTGGATATATGCCATGTCACCCTGTACCGGTTCCATACAAAGAGGCTGAGGTTGGAGAGTCAGGGATCACAAACACCCCCAAGAGTAGGCTACTGGACACCAAAGAAGGTGTTCTCAACAGAGCAGGAGATGCTTTTGAGAGACTACCTGATGGAGGCAGCTGATTTATACTATGGTCTCAGCTCAAAGGAGGTAGGTCTACATAATTAAGGTAGAAGCACCTCTCAGAGAACAGTTTAATCCTTCACAGAGGATGATGCTGTGTGTGTTATCTGTTATCCTGTTCATTGTTCATTGTTTGTTGGAGGATGTGTGAAACCCCATTCAAATCTTGTTGCCTTAGAATTTGACAGCTTTCCCTATTTGTTGTCATGTAGTGTGAAAAAAGGTAACCGTTATTAACATGTTACAACCGTGCCTGGCATGTGCTACAACTGTCCCTGTACACAGTTGTAACAGTTGAGTTTTAAAAAAAAAATACATTTTCCAACCTGTACTTGTTTCATAAAAACATCTTAGCTGACATATTGATAATGTATAATATAGCAAAATGGCTATCCTATTGTAAATGGTTTTTTACTTATTGGGGAAAAGCCCAAAAAGTGTTGCAACTGTCCCTGGTCTCCCTACATATGCCAGGCCTGTAAGTGGCGCTGTAGTCTGCCACAAAAGCAGCTTCCCGCCCATAGTTACCATGGTTACCCTTCTGTTTATTCTCCGCTGTGGCTTTTTTTCTCCCTCTCCGAGGCAAGCGTTTGCTCCCGCTGCTTTAATTCAATGCAATCCCTCCCCGTTGAGGCAAGCACTGTAATTCTCTCCGGTTAGTCCACCAGCAGATGACAAACACCCACCTCTCCGCCTCTTCCAAGGAACGAGGGGACCGTGCGGTAGAGTTTCAGTTTCAGTTTCTTTCGCCGGTCAAGATGTCCGTTAAAGTTTAAATCTTCCGGACAAAATTAGAAAAGTGCCGGTCAAAGGTCTTCTTTGTTATTTATTGAGCTTTAAAACAAAAACAAACGACTCTATAGGCCTATAATAATATAATAAAACACGGAGGACGGAGATCTTTTTTTCTCCCCCTCTTGACTTGATCAGAGCACGGCTCCCCTCTCCTGCAGGGGGGCGTGGTCAGCTGCAGCTCACAGAATCAGCCCCGTAGACAGCAAACAGCACATAGAGCGAAATGAGGCATGGCTAAAATGCATGATCTGTTTGGTATTTTGAAAACAGAAACGTATAAATATACCTTATATAGGTATGGCCCTACAATATATCATTTAAATATAGCATGATAGGTCCACTTTTTAAAACAGAATCATTGTTGAAGCTCAATCAAGGTCTAACTTAAAGGGGACCTATCATGCAAAATGCACTTTTGTACGTCTTTTATACATGAATATGTGTCCCCGGTGTTCCAGGGAACTCACCAAGTGTCAGAAAACACAACCCTCTCTATTTTCCTCCATACCCAAATCTCTAAAAAAAGGGGCTGCAACGGATCTGATAAAAACTGATCCAGATTTGAACACTGTCCTGACGTCAGGACGGTGGTGCCAGAGCCGTATAATAGAAGAGTTACGACATCTCCGTTCACTCCAATGGACCAGTTTTTTTACAGCAATGGCGGATCGTGGAGCCGCCAATAGTTCCCCGGAAGTTAGCTTGCCGCTGACTTCCGGGGGAACTATTGCGGCCAGCACTATGGGCCAGCAGCACAGTAGAGTTGCAGCATAATAGACCGTTCGTGATGGACTTTTAAAGGTAAGAAGACGTTTAAAGATTTATATTGCGGATATTATCAGCACATCTGAGTCAAATGAACATGTGTATTAAAGGATGTTAGTGGATTATCCCTAAATCAGTAGATTTAGGGAACGTTTACAGATAACAGATTAGGCTGGGATACCGGATAAAGTTAGCAACACACCATGAACAGCTATTAATCCTTTCTCCTAATGTTATTTCATCCAACGTTGTGGAATTAGAGAAAAAGGGCTTCTAAACGTGATTTTTTTGTGGGGTGGAGGAATATAATATTAGTTAAATATAACATTGGGGCACGTGTGATTGTAATGAGTGGAGGTGGAGAAATTACAATCTCCATTTTGGAGTAGGCCTACAAACTATAATAAAGTTAACGTTACACAATAATAAGGAAGAGAGCTATTTGTGTGATACATCGCTATTGATATTAATTTAGAGTGCATATTTGAGACTTCCAAACAGTAAACAAAAACGTAATTTATGGGTGAGTGTTTTTAGTGTATTCTGTTGATTATTACCTGTCTGTATTATGTTGCAGCTCAGCTGATTTTGAAATGATGGCAAAGTGAGAGTGAAAACACAAGGTACATTTAATACTACTGTTGTATATAAGTAAGCATACTAAACATGTATTCTATCACTGTATTATATAAGTAATCCTGTTAGTGTATATTAGTAACCTACTGTATGGCAGGTGGAGGGGCAGTGATGTTACAGGTGGAGGACTTACTGGACATGTATACACTCATTACATACTGTACGTAAAATACGACCAAGAATGTGAGACAACTTTATACAAATTCATATCACATCCATTACTGACGCCATTTGTCATACTTTGTTAAACTCACAAATAATAAAGTTCCATAACTTCAGTTGGAAACAAAGACCACACCTTATCTCCCCAAGGCAATTTCCTATCCAATAGGTGTGCTATATAGGTGTGTATAACCCTTTCTCCTGTCTGTTTCTCCCTCTTTCAGCACAAGAACCAGAGGGGGATTCAATAGAGCCTGAATACCTGCACTGAGACCCTCACCCTGCACCCTGAGTCTCAACTCTCAAGAGTTTTTCAAGCCTTTCCCTGTTATTTGTATTAAACCAAACATTAAGCTTCCCAATGGTGTGGTCTTCGTTTTGTGAAAAAGTGCAAATGCAGTGTTTGAATATGATTACCTCACATATTTTGTTGCGGCTGTCTGTTTTGATTGTTAAATTGCTCCTGCTGACTTGAGCTAGACATTTTTTCCTCCTCTCTGTGTCAGTGGGGAAGCCATACATTCTGATTCTTACTCCTTTCTCTGAGCGATTGGAGCATCCCCAGGCAGCACAGCAAACCATGGTGGAGACTATATGCCAGGACAACACGGAGGAAAAGGCACAGACAAACTGCATGACATGCTATTCAATGTTTATTGAATTCCATGTATTTACAATGGATGTTCCTAAAACAACACTTTTAACGTCATAATCATGTTGCTGCTAGTCCATTGATAGTCACCTGTTGGTCTCCTGTCCTTTCTGAAAGTCATAAAGAGTACATTAGTCATTTAGATTACTTATGTCCTCAAGTACCATGGGATTACTGAAACCACCATGAATTAAAAAAATGGTAGAAATGAATCTAATCTAAATTTTGAAGCATTCCTTGCCATCCCCTCCCTCTAAATATATCAATAAACATTAGGAAGTGATGCTCCTGACTACCATACCTGTTTAAGAAGATAATATTTGTTTTAAATAATTCAAAGCAATACACAACAGCAACAGGCTCTTTAACCAAGGCAACAGCCTAACATGTATATGTTAACAAGTAAACTAGCTGTTCACACTATTCCTAATATTATCCATAAATATTAGCAGATTCTATTTATTTTTTAAAACATATTGATGTAAATACATACACATATCGGTATGTTGTATAAATATTGCAAATCAAGACCTTTATTCACTACTTATTACCAAAAATCGTAGTTCTATCTCCGGTAATCATGCATTCATATGTCCCGCCACGAACTTCCGGGGAACTATTGATTCTCCCTGAACCACGTGACGATCAAGCATTTTGGACTTCCGCTGTCGTAACTCTTCTATCTATATGGCGCTGGGTGGCGCTACGGCTATTGGGCCAACTCCACCAATCAGGAGGAGACAGCCACGGCCATTGCCTTTCGAAAGCACTGGAGACGCTGTAGTACATATGCCAGGCCTCTAGATGGTGCTGTTGCTCACAGAATCAACCCTTGCAAAAACAGAGCTAACATTTTTCAAATTGAGCGAAATGAGGCATGGCTAAAATGCATGATCTGTTTGGTATTTTGAGAAAAAAAAAGTATAAATATGCCTTATATAGGTATGGTCCTACACTAAATTATTCAAATATAGCATGATAGGTCCACTTTAAGGACACGTCAAATCTGAAAACAGGTTGATTTGTTGCCCGTCAGTTCCTTGAAAAACTTGGCCCAGGTTCATTCTAAAGCAAGTGCACTATAACCTGTTTGTTTTGCTTAGCTAACGGCAGTAACTGACGACGCTGGCACACCGAAAGGATTTTGTGTCAAGCTATGTTGTACTCGCTCACCCAGACTGCAGGCAGAGGCGCTGATACTAATCAATGAAAAAGGTATTACTGCAGCTAATGCCCAACAGAGTGGACTTGGCAGACGTTTCATAAATCCCTGGAGAAAATGTACCCATTGCTAAAAGAGATTCTGGAAGGAAGCCTTTCTTGAGCTGGAAGGGACAAAACCCCTCAAATTATTTAGGTAAGCATAAAAACATGAGTGAGTGTGTGCAAGGCCAGGTGGACGCCTCGCTGCTGGCCACACAGGTAATTGGTGATACCCCCCACATGACCTTGGCAGCCTGCATCACCTGTTACTGTTGAAGGTTGCAGGTTCCTTATGTGTCGCAGATTTGACAAATGATAAACTACACAAAACAATTGTTTAAGACTCTTTTTAGCGATGCCAAGTATTATGAATTTTGCACTTGAAAAATAAAAGATAAGATGCACCTTTATTAATCTGATTGCTCAAATATGACAATCACATAAGACAAAACACAATGAGAAAAAAAAAACCCGTAAATCATCTCGCAAAGAATGTAATTCACCAGCATTATATGTTATGTACAATTATATTAGTCTATTAAAACTGTTATTTACTCCCGATTCATCCAGAAATGTCGTAACAAGAATCAACGCACAGTTTCCTGAGTACAGTGCGGGGTTTCAACACTGCATTGTGCTTTGCTCAAGGCCACATTTCCTCTTTTTTATGAAAGAGGGGAAGAGGCACTGACATAACAGCTCACAAATCGTCCTGGTGTTTGTGTCGCAGATTCTGAAGGGGGGGGATTTCCATTAGACCAGCAGCACTGCCTCTTGAGTTGAAGTGGAAATGCAGGCGAGATTGACAACGGAATAAATCCAGCCGGATTCTTTTTCGTCTGATGTGCTTCTGCTAAACCAGTCTACAGCCAACTGCCTGGTGTTAGGTGCCGAAGGCGGAGACCAATGAGATGACTAGGATGAGGATGAGGATAGCCAAACAGATCGCTATGCAGAGCTTTTTCTGCATGGGGAGAGAGAAATAGATCAATAAACATACGAGCAAAATGAATTAGGTGCAACAAAGGGACACTTCTCCCCAAAATCAAAAATACATATTTTTTCTCTTACCTGTAGTGATATTTATTATGATGTGTTAGGTGCAGTGTTGGAGATATCAGCCCTAGAGGTGTCTGCCCTCTTTAAAATATATTGGATATAATAGCACTTGGCTTGTGGTGATCAGCGCCCAAAAATATATAGAAATTCAAAAATCAGCAGCATTGTCTCTTTTCAGAAATCATGACTGTTGCACAACATAATTAAAATATTTTAGAAATGTTATAGATTCTTATATTTACAATTACACCTGTGAGCAGTTTCATGTAGGAACTTTTTTTTCTACCAAACTACACCGGGGTTGCGGTCGGATAATCCAAAAATCAGCTCCTAACGTCTAACCCTGGTCTAACCCTATCGTCTATTCCTTGACCTCTGTGTGAAACGTCACGGGGTTAAGGGATAGTGGATAGGAGAAGAGACTGCGGTACTTTAGAGAATCCGACTGCACTTTCACTATCCAACGTGTTTATGAGGCACCAGCGGACGTCATAAATGTGCGCCTGCTGCTGTGGAGAAACTATGGAAACTAGTTTTCTATACAGCGGACTACAACATGGATGTTTAATAAGAACGAGGGACTACTGTAAACTCTGCACCGTGCTCTGATGCTGTTGTTTTATGCTTTATGAACGTGGACAACAGAGAAACATATTGTTCATGACCAAAGTTGGAATTGAAATAAAAAAGGAAAGTGAAACTTATGCTCGTCACCCTCTCCCTCCGGTCCACATTAATACAAATGATCCCAATACGTATGATTGTATGAAAAGATCTTAAAATCAATACAAATGTATTTATTATAAACGTTAGTCCTTAACATCTATCACTGTGTATATCACCATTCAAACATCTTTTAAAAGTTGAACAACCCCCACACAGCTCAGTAAAGACTGTGAAATGTTCACTTTATTTGATCATTTCAGTAAAAACTAACGTTCATATTTCTCTTTTTGATTATAATACTGATGAACGTTCAAAACAAAGCACTTTGGCAACTTACCACATACGTTTTAAAATGCTTAATAAGCACCGTAACTTTCATGATATCATTTCTCGTTCATAATCGGTTGTTTCCGTGAACGGAACGGCCGACTGTTGTGTGACGGCAAATGCGGCGGCCGCAAGGCATTGGGGGGCAGCATTTTCTCCTCTCCTTTCGTAAAGGGAGGTCCAGTGGTTCCTAGGCTAAAGGAGGTTATAAAGAAAGTTTGAAACCTCCTTTCCTATCATCTAGAGCAGTGGTTCCCAAACGATGGGTGTTTCTCAATCGCAAGTACGCTTGCTTGGTAGCACATGTCTGCCGAGCATCTTGCTTCAGAAGCGAGTCAAGAATACTTCCTGGCTTTCGGAAAACGAAGAGTGGAACAGGCTAGCAAGTGTGCAGGTGTGCGTCATATGAGAGTCCCCGCCTTACATATTCCGTCACAGATTTGGGGAAATTGGTCCGTGCGCAAAGCATTGTGGGGATTTTAAGACCGCGGAGTCTACTCATGTGCAGCCTCGATATTTCTCCAAACGGAGTACGCCGGGCTCAGTAGATTTCCAAGTATGCTGGAGATTGGAACAGTACTTCGGCGGCACTCGATGACGTAGTATGCTTGAAATAGTGGCTCTGAAGCAGCTTTACTCGCGATTGAGAAACACCCCGTGTCTCAATTCAGGGGTTTCATCCTTCGAAGGGTGCATTCGTAGACCGCATACGTCACTTCCGCCGAAAGAAGGCTGTCCCAATTAAAAAAAAAGACGAGACTCCTCCGAATGCGGCCCACGAATGCAGCCTACTTTTCCCCAATTTGAAGGATACATCTGATGTACACTCCGCGGCCTACCATATCCCAGGGTGCAATGCGCGCAGGGAAGAGTGAGTTTTTTTCAAATGAAATGGCTTTTTCTCTTGTTTTTCTCTGTAATTAGTACAATTCTGGAGAAATGGATCTGCTGGAGAAGGACCCCTAATCTGAAAAGTGCACAGCGGATCATCAGGACAGAGCTGCCATCCACCTGGTCACCCTGAGGTGCTGAAGAAAGCAAAACGGCGATCAGGAACATCCTCCACCCAGACCTCTGCTTACTGCCGTCCTACAGACTTGTGTCTTAGTTTCAGAATTAGATTTTGTATGTGTCCTTTCTTTTAATAGATATGTAACGGTTATAGCTTGAGTCTGTCTGATTCCCCAAACAACTGCTTCTATATACTTGCTGCACATATAATACAAATAAACAACTCCAGAAACACACTTTTGCTGATATTTGTTTTACTGCTGATTATGTTAAATAACATGATTGATTTCCTGTCTCAATGATGAAAGTTATAATAATAGAAGACATGAAGCTGCAGAGAGAGGATGGATATATTCTTACCTCTACTTTGTGATAAGATAAAAATACAATATTAAATTGTAATTGTTAAACACATTGTTTATTTCATTTACTGAGGTTTTAACCATTATTTCCAACATGTGTACATAAGCAGTGGAATAATAGGATATCTCTAGTCTAGGTCATTAAACTGTCTTCAGTTTAATTTGATTAACACAAAAAATAGGTAATAGAAAATGTTTAATTGTGTATTCCAGCAGAGCGGGGGGTCACGGTGCTGCTGGACCTGGAGGTGCTGACCTGGAGTCAGTGGGACATCATCTGGGCAGGTTTAGGGGAAGAAGGAGAATATAAACTGTTATGATCACAGCTATTAAGATTAGAACACTAATATTGTTAAGAATCAATCTATACAACATGCTTTTGTTCATTTAAAAAACATTGTTTTATTAGTACAGAAAAATTAAGACTTATTTTAAATATGAAATAATATGATTAAATTACATCAGCTATATATAATTTACTTGTTAACTTACTAATGTAACATTACTGGGGGCTAAAGGAACAGCTTCATCTTATTTACCTGGCCATGGTCCTCTTTAATTCATCGCCGACGGTGATCTCCAAAAATGTTGCTAGCAGGCTGCTGGAGCAGCGCAACCGAACAGCGCGTATCACGTGACGTAAACAGGCAGTGCTCCGTAGTCTAGACCAGTGGTTCCCAAACGGTGTGCCGTGAGGCAAGTCCGGGTGTGCCGTGGGATTTTGTGACAACCATACGTTATTATTGCAATATACAACTACACAAAAATAATTATTTTTTTATTTACTATATCAGTACTTTGTATGCACTCATTTCATAATACAGAGGCAAACTCTATACCTAAAAACAATTCTTTAAAAAAAAATCCTCACAGAACCCCATATTTCGCTGTTAACGCAGTTGCACAGGTGGGAATTATAAGACCATGACCAGAGTTGGGTGTAACGCGTTACTGTAATAATATTATTTTTGTCGGTAACGGAGTAGTGTAACGCGTTACTTTTATAATTCAGTAATCACACTACAGTTACTAACATTGCCCCGACACGCGTTACTTCGTTACTTTTATAAAATCAGTCATAATCACACTGACAGACAAGAGGGGTTTCCGCCGCAGGTTTATATGTACGTAATCTGCGCGACTTGCACGTCCACATCTCCGCGTGCAGTGCTGCATAAACATGGCAGAGTCAGCGATAACTTTCGAGGGGTGGAGGTATGCCCATTATTTTGAGTTTGTCCGAAGAATAGACAGGAATGTGACGGTGAGGTGCAAACTGTGTCCAGGCCAGAAGCTGTTATCCACTGCTGCAAACACCACGTCAAACCTCAACAAACACCTGCAAAGAACACATGCTAAGGTGAAGCTAATAGCTAAGGACCCCGAACCCAGAGTGAGGATGTTGTGAGTGCGCCGCCGCAAGAATTTGGAGGACCGGTAACCGAAGCAGAGATGGACAGGCTTGTAGCATCCTTCATAGTAGAGGTAATGTTGCCCATTTGCACAGTGGAATCACCATCGCATCGTTCAGAGATATACTGCGCAAAATACAGATAGCAGGAGACAGAGGACAGCCATAGTCAGAGCTATCTGGATCAGTCTTATGCGACAATGGAAACTGAACTAAAGAGAACATTTGAAACTTTAGCAGTCTGCGTGATCTGCCTGCAGGGAGGGGCTGGCCGGCCCTGCGAGTAAAGTAACGAGTAAAGTAACGAATTACTTTATGTAGAGAGTAACGAAGTAGTGTAATATATTACTTTTTTTTTTAAAGTAATATGTAATATGTAATATATTACTTTTTTTTAGTAACGACCCCATCTCTGACCGTGACACATTGAAGGCTGAAGGACAACATTAAAACAGAGAAACACGCAAGAGGGAAAATGGAGCGCTTTCTTGTGCGGAGCAAACCACCAACCACCAGTGCAGAGACTGCCGACAACCCACCACCGAAAAAAAACAAAAAACTGTCAGCAGACAGTATCATGAAAGTTACCTGTCTTATGACACTGCAGGCGAGCGGCAGATTTTCCCTACAAATAGACGAATCTACTGACATAAGTGGGGCTGCCCAACTTCTGGCAAACGTCAGATATGTTGATGCTGACTCTATCAAAGAGACGTTTTTCTTCTGCAAAGAAATGGAAAGCCATACTACGGGAGAAGATGGTGAATTACATCAAATCAAGGCCCCTGAAATCTCGCCTCTTCTCCCAGCTGTGCGCCGAGATAGGAGCCGACCACCAAAGCCTGATCCTCCACACAGAGGTACGTTGGCTGTCACGGGGGAAAGTCCTATCCCGTCTTTATGAGCTTCGGGAAGAGCTTTTGGAGTTTTCACGTGAACACGCTGTCCCACATAAAGACGAGCTCGCGGATGAGAGGTGGTGCGCCAGGCTGGCTTACCTCGCAGACATATTTGGGCATCTCAACGAGTTAAACGCCAAGCTTCAGGGCAGGAATGAAAACATTTTATCATCCACAGACAAGATTCGGGGGTTTATGGGCAAACTTATCCTGTGGCGCGAGGCTTTGGAACAGGGCTCCATGGACATGTTCCCGCTGGCATCAGCTGCGCCGCAGGCAGCTAGGGAGCGCGATGTATATGCCAAACACCTTCAGACCTTAAAAGAGAGGTTTGACCGCTATTTTCCACGTGTGGCTGACATCGAGGACTATGACTGGATCCGAGACCCATTCCACCAGGAATTCCTAACAGAAAAGCTCACTATGAAAGAGAGAGAGGAGTGCGCAGAGCTCCGTGTGGACCGCACACTGAAACTCAAATTTAGTGAGCTCCCACTGGATCAGTTTTGGTTGGCTTCTGCATCGGAGTACCCAAGCATCTCCCACCACGCGATTGAGCAACTTCTTCTTTTTCCCACTACCTACCTGTGTGAGTTGGCGTTCTCTACTCTGGTTTACATGAAGAACAACAGGAGGTCACGGTTCTCTGTTGAACAGGATTTGCGAGTGGCCCTCTCCTCAGTGCCACCAAGGATTAAAAAAAATCTGCGCGCCCCGACAGGCACATGTATCTCACTAATTTGTAAGTCGGCAAAATATTTACAATAGCACATGTTTCAATGCTGATTGCTGAAATGTTACATTTATAATTTGTAGTTCAGGCCCATGGACAGTGCAGCTTCCTTGCATTGACAGTTCTCTGTGCTGAATTTCTGCTGAGTCTTTGCCTCATTTTTTATTTTGTGACCTGTCTGGTTTAAATGAGTGTGTTGCTGCTTTGATGAAGCCTAATTTGATAAAGTTTCAAATTAATTTCTGAAATATTTCGTTAATAAATATTTCATGAGTAATATAGTTGTCTTTGTCACATTTTATTTGGCATTAGTAAATAATTATGCACATTTACAGATATTTTACATGATATGAGCGATAACACGTGTTATAAGGGCTATTTTGCACAATAGGTGTGCCTTGAGATTTTTACTTGTCCTTTGGTGTGCCTTGGGCACAAAAAGTTTGGGAACCACTGATCTAGAGCAGTGGTTCTCAACCTTTTTACACCAAGTACCACCTGAGAAAATAGTTGGCTCTCCAAGTACCACCATATGACCAATGTTAAAATACAGTCTATGCACAGTTCATGCAGGACTCGGAGGCAAATGTATTCATAATAACATTATTTACTGTCAGCCACAGCTACATGTACAAAGGGCAGTCTCTCTCTCACTCATCACTCACTCACACACCACAAGTGAGAACACAAAGAACAAAATAATAACTTATTCTCACACAACAAATGACAACTGTACATACATGTCATTTCCTGTAACAAAGTTTGAATGTAGGCCGCCTGCAACAACCTACATTGTAACAGAAAATGTCCTCTTGGAAATTCAGTTCCACAATAATAATGAAAGCCTCCAGGAGCAGATGAGCCTAAGGGCTAATAGCTCATCTTCAGTCTGCTGATGTTTGCTATTGCCATTTCTGTGGTGGCAAAGTAAAAAATAAAATAAAAAAGATAACAATTAAGGACAAGTGTGTGCTTTTTCAGCTTTTGACCTCGGTCACAGCCTTCTCTCCAATCTTCTTCCTGAGTCTCTCCTCCATCACAGCGTTGTGGCTGTGCATATCACTTTTGCGTTGCTGGCGGAGCCTGCGCTTGTGCTCGGTTTATGACTGTCCTCCTCCTCATTCACTTGTTCACTTTCGCTGGTAATATTCTCTTCTGTACCTCTCTTCCGAATACCTCCCGTTTTGAGCCACGTTTTTAACATCATTCAGCTTTCTTCTTTCTTTAGCTTGCTTGCAACGTTCGCGGGTAGTATGGTCGTCATTAGCAGCACCAGAAATAAATAAAAACATGTTTTCGTTTCTAAATCTAAAAACAACAATAGCCTATTAGAAATTATTTAAACCACAGTTTCAATTATCTCAAGCTTATTTTCATTCGTTGTAGTATTTTGATAGTATGATTTATTTTTGAATTAATGTTATTCAATCAAGCCTCAAACTGATGGCACTTGTCCCTGTAGCCTGTTTTAAATTGAAGTTGTCTGAGGTCCTTACCACCAGCTGCTCTTGCAGTAATAAGTAGTGTACCTTACTGTCCCAAATGTGCACAATGTAGTGACTGCTTTTCATCTTTTTGTTTACTTAGTTGTGTTTTCTGTATTTGATATGTCTGTGTTATGTGTAAGAACGTGTAACGTTGCTGCCTTCTTCGCCAGGTCAGCATTGTAAATGAGATTTTATCTGGTTAAATACAATTAAATGTCAGATTCCTCCGCGTACCACTAGCGGGAGTTGGCGTACCACCAGTGGTACGCGTACCACAGGTTGAGAACCACTGATCTAGAGAATTCGAACGGCACTTATCATGGCTGCCACTGAGGGACTTCCGGGTCATTTCACTCCGTTAGGAAGGTTCCTAAGCTAAATGGACTATTGGGTTGCGGTCGAATACTCCAAAAAAACAGCTCCTAAGTTCTAACCCTATCATCTATTCCTTGACCTCTGAGTGAAACGTCATGGGGTTAAGGGATAGTGGATAGGATAATTCAAAAGGATTTAGGAGAAGAGACTGCGGTACTTTAGAGAATCCGACTGCACTTTCACTATCCGACGTGTTTATGATGCGCCAGCGGAGGTCATAAATGTGCGCCTGCTGCTGTGGGGAAACTATGGAAACTACAGTTTTCTATACAGCGGACTACAACATGGATGTTTAATAAGAACGAGGGACTACTGTAAACTCATCTAGAGACTCTGCACCGTGCTCTGATGCTGTTGTTTTATGCTTTATGAACGGGGACAACAGAGAAACATATTCTTCATGACCAAAGTTGGAATTGAAATAAAAAAGGAAAGTGAAACTTATGCTCGTCACCCTCTCCCTCCGGTCCACATTAATACAAATGATCCCAATACGTATGATTGTATGAAAAGATCTTAAAATAAATACTGTATTTATTATAAACGTTAGTCCTTAACATCTATCACTGTGTATATCACCATTCAAACATCTTTTAAAAGTTGAACAAACCCCACACAGCTCAGTAAAGACTGTGAAATGTTGACTTTATTTGATCATTTCAGTAAAAACTAACGTTCATATTTCTCTTTTTGATTATAATACTGATGAACGTTCAAAACAAAGCACTTTACGTTTTAAAATACTTAATAAGCACCGTAACTTTCATGATATAATTTCTCGTTCATAATCGGTTGTTTCCGTGAACGGCCGACTGTTGTGTGACTGCAAATGCCGCGGCCGCAAGGCATTGTGGGGCAGCATTTTCTCCTCTCCTTTCGGTTAGGGAGGTCCAGTGGTTCCTAAGCTAAAGGAGGTTATAAAGGAAGTTTGAAACCTCCTTTCCTTTTAATTTAGAGAATTCGAACGGCACTTATCATGGCTGCCACTGAGGGACTTCCGGGTCATTTCACTCCGTTAGGAAGGTTCCTAAGCTAAATGGACTATTCGACCGCAACCTTGGACTTCAGCCCTGCCAACAAGTGCACACGAGCCTGCTTCCTTGTGCCCGGTGATACGGTTGGCGGGTGTAGTGCGGCAGGAAGAAAATAGTTCCTACAGGAAACTGCTTTTGTGACCCGGTCATGATTTCCGGAAAAATGTCAAGAGAAGGCAGACATCTCTATGGCCAGTCTGCCAGCATTGGCCAAAAGATTTATAAATAGCACTACAGCTAGGATAAAAAAATATATATTTTCATTTAGGAACTGTCCTTTTAAAGACACATTGTAACAGGACGTTAGGGCAGGACATAATACAGAAAGGGATTATTGTGTACTAATTTAAGGAGAAAAGGCTATTTGGTTTGATAGTACAGGTATAAGTCAGAGTATTTTAAAGTGTCCATATCATGTGTCTTTATACTGTACCTTGCGTGATTTCTGCTGATATGTGACTGCTTTCTCCGTGTTTTCCTTGGCTCTCACCACGTAGTCCGTCGACTGTTTAATGTTGTTCTCAACCTGGTTCACCATCTCCTCCTGCAGAAGGGAAGACATCATTCATTCTCTTTGTCACCCAGATCAAAAGCTGGATGTTGACGTTGTGCGCGCTGCTCTACCTGAGCCTCCACCTCCATGGCCAGGTACTGGAACATGTCGTGCCGCTCTCTGATGCTCTGCTCCTGCTTCAGGATCTCGTCGTGCCGGGACTCGATCTCATTCAGAGCCTGTTTCGTGGCTATAGCATCGCTCAGGATCTAAAGATTTGTATTAGTTATTAACAATAGCTGCACCAAGTCATGAGGTTTCAGGGTTTTCAGCATTCTTTACACTACGATCTAGCGGAACTGATCACTAATGGCTTCACTAGGATGTCTTTCTTTGCTTACCAGATCTGCTGTCCAGTTTGAGCGATTAGAGACAACAGAGCACATCATTTCATACATGACACTTAAAGTCTACTCTGACTCCTTGGTGCAACTGTGAATGTGTTTTGCTTCAGCAGAGGGGTTGTGGTTTCCAACATCAGGTATTTGACACTTCTTTCATCTTGCCACATACTCACATTTTGAGGGAAAACAATCGTCTGCCCGCTCTCGAGCATCACGTCCAGCTCTTCATCTGTCATGTCCTTCCCAGCTGAAAGGTAGAAGTACATCAGGATGTCGTGGTTGGGTGAGGAGAGAAAGTGGAAAATGAAAATACAAAAACTCTCACATGAGTTTGAAACCACCTGGCAGTCTTATGTTGAGCTTGTAAAGAATGTTTTTTTTCTCAGTTGTTGCTACTACTATGTAGGGATGCAATTACGAGTTAAGTATTTTCGTTAGTGATTATTTTGTCTAATATAATAAAAGCATAAAATGGCCCCTTTAACAATATCCAACAGGAACACTGTGACTTTGTCTGACTAACAGTAAGAAGAAACAAATACTCAATTTACCGTAATGACAAAAAGCTAATATTTGGTATATCTGCTTGGAAAATTACTAAAACGATTAACCAATGATCCAAATATTTGCAGATTTATTTTCTTTCAAACAACTTATCAAATAAACCTGTCATCATCTAAATAGAGGTCGCTGTATAAAAAATGTATGAATGATAAAATAGCTGCGATAATATTAAATACGCCTTCAAAAAGAGCAGTTATAATATAAACAACATTATAGTGATATAAATAATTGATTGCATTGTTATACCGTGCTTATGAATGATAATATGGCGGTTTAAAAGCAGAAAGTGACAGAGAAGAGATGACACATGTTCATGGGACAGAGTGCTGACAGTGAAGCAGGAAGTGGTCACAGCAGTGAGGTCCACCACACACACCCTGTGCTGTACTCACTGATTTTCAGCTGCCGGCGTACCCTATTCACCTGGCAGTCCCTGTACTGCGCCTGGATGGTGTTACAGTAACCCATCAGCTCCACAAACTCCCTGGACAGGACTCCGTGCTGCAGAGGAGGAAACACTTTGGTCACTTTAACGCTCATTATTGATAGATCTTATACACATTTGTGGGAATTTAAAATTATATCCAACCTGGGTCCGTTGCATCCGGGAGTTTATGGGTACATATTTTCCATCCTCCTCTCCTTTCTTCGGTTCAATACCTGTAGAGATATTTCATAAGTATCATTTATGTACACGAAACTAAAGAGCAAACCGTGTTCTAGAGAGGCACCAATCACTGCATTTCCATTTGAATTTAAAACTGCAACTACTTTGCATACTTGCATAATGTATATATTATCCACTGTTTTTATTTTTTTGTAGAAGTTTGGTCTTTTACTGTATTCTAACTTACTCTGTATATGTTATGTTGTGTATTCCACTGATATGTATATATTTACTGTTTGTTACTTTATTTGTAATTTAAACTCTAAATTCCTTAACAAAAAAATGTCCTTACTTCATATCAGTCAGCTATTAGGATTTCACAGCCACACGCATACAAAGTGTTAACAACTGGGCTTATTTTCCACTAGCTTTAGCAACTTTTAAGACCATCTTGGCAGCTTAATTCCTAAAAAACAACTTAAAGAACATCAGAAAAAAACAAGAAATATGTTATATAATCATTAAATTCCCCTAGCTTATCAGATCTTTGCGGTGAACGACTCTTCATCCAACAGGTCATAATCTCACAAAATGAACATAAGTGTATTGACTTGTTATCCGCCAATACTCACTCTTCAGTTTTCTCTGAATGTGACCCGCCAACGTTTTGATCTCCTCTCGAAGAGTCTGCAGCTTTCTCTTCATACCTGAGGAAAACATCAACAGATAATGTGAACCCTCTGAGTGGTGACACTTAAGACGAGAGATTCAGAAAAATATGTGGATTTAAGAATGCAAAAAATATATTGTTCACCTAACAGTAAAAGACTTGGACTTTCAAAACTTTAAAAAATGTGGTGACTTTATGTTTTGCCTTTACAGAAATAGTCAGTACCCAAATCTGTACAGACTGATGGCACGGACAAACACACTTACTGTCGTCCGACAGCGGGTCGGCCAGCAGAGCTTTCTGTTTGTTCTCCAGGTTAGACACCATCTGTTTGAGGCTGTTCAGCCCCTCGTGAATTTCTTGAACCTGAGATTAGGAAACAGAAGCACTGTTCAAATGTGCATTTAGTTGTAGGGGAAACAGATCCACATGAAGTTTAATTGATCGATTAATTGGTGAATTAATTTGTCAAGCAAATATGCCAGACATGCTGTGGTTCCATTCTTTGAAAAGAAAGGATATTGCTGCTTTTCCTTTTTAATTGATTATTTTTATATAGTGGACCGCTGGGGGGATACAAAAAAGCATGATGTTTTTGTTGATGTTGACAAGATAGAATATATAAAGTGACAAAATATGGGAAAGAGCTATGCGACCATTTATTCAACCTACAGTGGACATTCCTGTTAAACAATGTAAACAATCATTAAGCTTTTAATGTTTAAACCTTTTGTTTTACAACTATTATTTCAGGCATAGACTGAAAGACAAGAACAATTAATCCTAGGAAAACTCCTTGTTATTTTACAACATTTTCTAAACTAAATTATATTATTATTTAATAGATCAAATAATAAATAATTATTTTTAGATCTAGGTACAGTACCGGTGTCTTATCTTGTTTTTTTTCAATGTATTATATATTTTGAGAAACAATAAATTATTTCTGATTTTAATTTGGAAAAATATATATATTTTTAAGTTGCTTATTTTTTTATTACAAATTATATCCAGCAACTTCTATGTCATTTGGTTTATATCTGTGACAGTTCATCAATACAACTTTAGAATGATTTTATATAAATGTACATATCATATTCTTTGGGTCAATGAAAATGTAAACAAAGACACATCTAAACATCTGTGCAAGTGTATAATTGAAGAGTTATAGAACTAGAACTTGAGGCAACAATGAAAGAAGAACATGTGATCTTATCTGATCTGTCTGCTCTCCTCGGATTAATATCAATAGGCTTGTTTGAGACAAGCGAGACCTGCGCAGACCTGCGCAATTGCGATCAACGTCTTGCTAGTGCGATGGTTAGTCATTTTGTCCGACTTGCTCTGGAGGCTCGCCTACATGAGACGTTGAAATCTCGCGGGACAAAGACGCCCGCAGACTTGAGAGCGAGGCGCAGCGAGGCGCGGCGAGGCGGCGCAGTTTCTCTCCACGGGCTGCGGAAGCGAAATGCTTGATGGGAAACGACTTGCTGGTATCTCGAGCTGAGCGCTCATTGGTGGGTTTTACCCCGTGCTGGAGATGAAACTCTCCATTGGCTCGGCAAAAGTGTGTTGTTGTTTTGTGTCAGTTTTACGTCGCCACTTCCATTCACATTTTTCATCATTGTTCCACAATGTTTATCATCATGACATTAATATCTATATATTTGTATACTAAACTTGCACTGCTTACCGTTGTCATACTTTATATATCTTAGCATATTCATACAACACACTGTTCATACTAGGCTAGGCTACTGTGTATATAGTGTATTCATACCCCTCACTGTTTTTTGATCATTCAATTCATTCTATATTTTATTCTGTAGATTGTGGACATTACTTTTCACTTTACTGCTTTATGCACTCCTGGTTAGAAGCTAAACTGCATTTCGTTGTCTCAGTACCTGTAATCTGTGCAATAACAATAAAGTTGAATCTAATCTTGAGCAGGAACAAATGTATTTACTTAGTACATATCTGACATTAACGATTAAACACATTTGTCCATTCTTTATCAATCAATCAATCAATGTTTATTTATATAGCCCAATATCACAAATGTTACATTTGTCTCAGTGGACTTCACAGTTTGTACAGAATATCAGTATGACAATACGACACCCTCTGTCCTTACGTTTCACATCATACAAGGAAAAACTTCCAGAGAAAAACCCACAGTTTAAAGGGGAAATGGGAGAAACCTCAGGGAGAGCAACAGAGGAGGGATCCCTCTCCCAGGACGGACAGACGTGCAATAGATGCCGTGTGCATTTATAAATGCAAACCGAGTCAAGCCGACTCCGGAGGTGGCAGTATGCACCTTAAAGTTGTTTGAAATCCGCCAAAAAACCGAGAGAAGAAGAAGAAGAAGAAGCCGACTCCGAGCTGTCCGACTTCAGGCGAGCTTTTTGAGACCTCCCCCGGCTGCGATCGGCTATTCTCGTCTACTTTCGAGGCGAGCCGCAGCTCGTCTCAAACAAGCCTATAATGTAGACAAACTTTACCTTTTTAAAGAATGCATCGTTCTCCTCCTCCTCCTCGTCCTCATCTGAAGCCTCTGCCTTCTATAAGTCAGATAACAGACAAATGAATTAACACAATGAAAATGAAGATATTTCCATTTTAAAGCATAAAAACAAATGTCAGCACCCCCCGCTGCCATGCCCTTTCCCGGCCTGGCATACCCTTTAACCCTTGTGCCCTCCTCGGGCATTTTTGTACATTTTTCCTGACTTTTTTTTTTGATTTGGTGTTCATTTCAGCTGTGTTACAGCTTTTGGCATGGATTTTTGCAAGAAGTCTTCTTTTGTCGTTTACTCTTACATGTTTTGTATACTCTCGTGATGCATTTTGCACCCTCTGGACCCCTTCGTGGCAAAAATGTACACGCTCATAGAAACTGCTATTAAATCATCATACATCAATATTTTATTAAACTTTTTTTTCCATGAATCACTTGAACAACTTCTAACGTGCTCAAAACTACCAAACATCCAATAATTTTCAGGATTTTAACCCTTTAAATGCCTGTTTCATTATTTGAATTATTTAATTTCTCTTAAAAAAAAACACAAAAAATGAATTTCTTTCAATATAATAATTAGTAGAGGGATGGAACTTTGGTGGTTATTAGAGTCTGGGATGTGTCAAAGATTAGCAACAAAATTGATTTGACTGCATTATTAATTTTTACGTAGTGTCAGATACTACCTCTGGACACCTTCGTGGCAAAAATGTACACGCCCAAAACAACTGCTATTAAATCATACATCAATATCTTTTTCTACTTTTTTTTCATGAATCACATATACAACTTCTCACGTACTCCAAACTACCAAACATTCAATCATTGGCAGGATTTTAACCCATTAAATGCCTGTTTAATTATTTTAATTATTTCATTTCTCTAAAAAATGCCTCATTGACTTCCATTCAGACCACATTTGTTGATCTCACTGCCATTGCAGTATAAAACCATGCATTTTGTAATGTCAGCATTTCATTTAGAAGAAAAGTAGTGATATTTGATATTTCTACTCTATTCCAACAGATTACACAAGTCTCCGTGTAGGCCGATGCATTACATTCTTACATTTTTGCCAGTTATATTATGGAGCCGTGTGACTACCAGGGGGCCCCGAGAGTGGTGTGTGTGTGTGTGTGTGTGTATGTATGTATATGTATGTGTGCGTGTGCGTGTGTGTGTGTGTGTGTGTATATGTATGTGCGTGTATATGTGTGTGTGTGTGTGTGTGTGTGTGTGTGTCATTTCCAGCAGCAGACTAGCAGGTCCTGCAGCATGTGACCTGGTGCTCTCAGGTGATAGAACAACAATTTTTTAGGCCTGTGCACAACCAGCACACACCTCTCCTCCCTCTCCGTGTGTGTGTGTGTGAGAATCGTAAGCATGCACAGATCATTTCATGGGAAAAAAAAGGCCATCTTTTGAGGGATGTGTTTGATGTGTCTTTGAAGAGCTGCTTGATTACTCAAAAACAAAAAACAACTGTTAGTGTGTTTATGCACCTGGCTGCCAAAGATAAACATGCAGTTTGACCAAGGGCTTATTTCATTAGTGAGCAGAGAAGGAGAAAGATCTAGAGCAAAGAGAAGGAACTCAAATGAAGAAGCTTTTCAGTGCAGAAGAGACTTCAGAGATAATCTTGCAGCCTTCTTCTGCCAGCGAGCTGCAGGACTCATCTGAAGAAGACACAAGGTTCGAGCTGGGGTCTGACACTGAATGCTCTCTGGAGTCCAGCATTTCTTTGAGTTCCTCTGACCCTTCATCTGAAAGTGGAGAGGACACTGAGGGTCCGGCCCACCATCCACCACCACGGGGGGCTTTCTTCTCACAATCTGTGAGGACACCCTGGTTTTCCCCAGCTCCTGGGAGAACGACCTCCGTTCTTCTCTGTCCCCTCACTGTGGGCCGGACCCTCAGTGTCCTCTCCACTTTCAGATGAAGGGTCAGAGGAACTCAAAGAAATGCTGGACTCCAGAGAGCATTCAGTGTCAGACCCCAGAGAGCATTCAGTGTCAGACCCCAGAGAGCATTCAGTGTCAGACCCCCCCTCGAACCTTGTGTCTTCTTCAGATGAGTCCTGCAGCTCGCTGGCAGAAGAAGGCTGCAAGATTATTTCTGAAGTCTCTTCTGCACTGAAAAACTTCTTCATTTGAGTTCCTTCTCTTTGGTCCAGGTCTTTCTCCTTCTCTGCTCACTAATGAAATAAGCCCATGGTCAAACTGCATGTTTATCTTTGGCATCCAGGTGCATAAACACACTAACAGTTGTTTTTTGTTTTTGAGTAATCAAGCAGCTCTTCAAAGACACATCAAACACATCCCTCAAAAGATGGCCTTTTGTTCCCATGAAATGATCCGTGCATGCTTACAGATTCTCACACACACACACACACGGAGAGGGAGGAGAGGTGTGTGCTGGTTGTGCACAGGCCTAAACAAATTGTTGTTCTATCACCTGAGAGCACCAGGTCACATGCTGCAGGACCTGCTAGTCTGCTGCTGGAAATGACACACACACACACACGCACATATACACACACGCACACACACACACACACACACACATACATACACACACACATACATACACCACTCTCGGGGCCCCCTGGTAGTCACACTTTTCTTCTAAATGAAATGCTGACATTACAAAATGCATGGTTTTATACTGCAATGGCAGTGAGATCAACAAATGTGGTCTGAATGGAAGTCAATGTGGCATTTTTGAGATAAATGAAATAATGAAACAGGCGTTTAAAGGGTTAAAATCGAAACCGAAAATGGTAGTTTTGAGTACGTTAGAAGTTGTTTATGTGATTCATGAAAAAAAAGTTGAAAAAAATATTGATGTATGATGATTTAATAGCAGTTATTATGGGCGTGTACATTTTTGCCACGAAGGGGTCCAGAGGTAGTATCTGACACTACGTAAAAAATAATAATGCAGTCAAATCAATTTTGTTGCTAATCTTTGACAAATCCAACACTCTAATAACCACCAAAGTTCCATCCCTCTACTAATTATTATATTGAAAAATAATTATGTTTTGTGTTTTTTCGTAAGAAAAAATGAAATAATTCAAATAATTAAACAGGCATTTAAAGGGTTAAAATCCAGAAAAGTATTGAATGTTTGCTAGTTCTGAGTATGTTATAAGTTGTTTATGTGATTCATGAAACAAAAAGTAGAAAGAAATATTGATATATGATGATTTAATAGAAGTTATTATGGGCGTGTACATTTTTGCCACGAAGGGGTCCAAAGGTAGTATCTGACACTACGTAAAAAATAATAATGCAGTGAAATCTATTTTGTTGCTAATCTTTGACACATCCAAGACTCTAATAACCACCAAAGTTCCATCCCTCTACTAATTATTATATTGAAAAATAATTATGTTTTGTGTTTTTTCGTAAGAAAAAATGAAATAATTCAAATAATTAAACAGGCATTTAAAGGGTTAAAATCCAGAAAGTTATTGAATGTTTGGTAGTTTTGAGTACGTTATAAGTTGTTTAAGTGATTCATGAAAAAAAAAGTAGAAAGAAATGTTGATGTATGATGATTTAGTAGCAGTTATTATGGGCGTGTACATTTTTGCCACGAAGGGGTCGAAAGGTTGAAAATTCGAGGAGGGCACAAGGGTTAAGAAGACAGGGCTGGAACGGAAGTTGGGAGTAAATTGTCGCGAAAGTTAACATTCACACACGTAAAACGCTCCATATGGGCATAGATATGTCTCATAATTATTTGTGTGAACAGAAAAATAATTTGTGTGTAAATATGTGATTTGTAAATGTAAAACACCATCCACAAATGCATTTAAAAGATTTGCAAACTCACAAATAAATGTGCAAATGTAAAACGGATCTGCAAATGCGCAAAATATTTTTACAAATAAAAAAAAGATCTTTGAATATCTCTTTAACATTTACAACTTTAGATCAGGCATTTGTGAATCCATTTTGTATTTGTCAACCAAAAATGCGCTTGTGGATCTCACGTTTCTGCTTGTGGATCTCAAATCTCTGCTTCTGGATCTCAAATCTCTGCTTGTGGATCGTCTTTTTACACACACGGAGTTTTGAGACAACCTTTCCGCCGGTCTCGGCTAAAATCTACTCGTGTCACTCGGTTATTTTCGGAAGCCACGTGATGGCCTGCTGATGACGACATTTCCGCATGGTTTTCAAAGTAAGAGCATGATGGTTTGTTTAAAGCGCTGTTTTTTTAATGAACGGCGGAACGTTAGATGCCATGGCCATGGGAAGTAGGGGTGCTGAGGGTGCTGCAGCACCCCCTGACGGAGGACAGGGAATCTGCACGTCCACAAGATTAATGGAAATATAATACAAATATAATACAAAAAAAACTAATTTTCGGCATTGATGTAACAACATTCATAATTAAGTAAAGATAACACCCTTTTCACCCCGGTTACATTTTCCATTTCCCCTGAGAGGCTCAGTGAGGTAAAGGACAGTTTAAATAGTTCACTTTAGTCTAAGTCAGGGGTCGGCAACCTTTTTGATATGAAGTGCCATTAAAAAAAAAAATTGTTATCAGCGTGCCAACGATCGAGAATTATCAACGGAGGGGGGGTCGGGGGGGGTTTGAGGAGCTTAACGCTGGTGAACTCTCAACAGGAGGGCGGGGGGAGCCTCGCTGCGGGGAAGCAGTGTGTGTGTGTACCTGTCAGCACAACTTACATGATGCCGAATTTAACAAACACATTTAATTAAATTGGTTTAAACGGCATAATAATAAGGACGATCGTCCGTTCTGTGATTCTCCAGAACACACATGTTATGATATTAGGGTCAGGCAGAGTGAGATGAGATCGCTGTCCCTTTAAGAGAGAGAGAGAGAGGGGTGTGGCGTGTGCATGTGTGTGTGTGGATGGTAGAGCGACAGTGAGGGAGCGTGTGTGTGTATGTTTCTGGAAGTGAAACGAGGCAGCAGAAAAACAGAGGTCTGTGATGTATTTTGTGAAACAGAAGAACAGCTAAATAAATGCAACGGCCTCCCCAGAAGAGCTCGCCT